GGCCAAAACTCCCAATCATTGCCCAGGTGCTTATTAAAATACGCTTTCTGAAACAATTTACATATCTTATTTCTTACAAAGCGCATCTATTTAATGTGTTCAACTAGGCATGTTAAATGCGAAATAGATCGTTTAATGCATCAAGCATCACGCATCTCCTAGCAACCAGTCAGGACAGACTGGGGAAACAGGATTTTATATTATTGTATCATCACGTCTAAAAATAATAGAGTGTGTTCATTCCTGTATTTAATTTCCAAAAATAAATGGAATCAGTGGATAGATTTTCATGAAATTTGGTATGAACAATATATTATTTGTCCTTTCTTTAATCATTACATACTCGTCGATTAATTAAGATACACTGTATCAGGGAGTTGATTAATCGTTTTAGTAGGCTCACATACGAATACTTAGAACTCATACGTGTCTGGGTGAAGAATTAGAACATGTAGCGCCATTTTTAATATAATTCAGCGCAGGCGGACACAACTAAGTTATCAGCACAATGGCGACATTATTACTGCCAAGAAAACTATCCATGAAGAATGTCTGATTACACGTTCAGAAACATCTTGCGTAAAATTACAGTGTTGTGCGTCTGATACGTCCTCAAAGTACAACATTCATTCCTATTAAATGTTACACACTTTAATATAAACTAATTACAGATGTAATAAAATAACAGTTGAGTATAATATTAATAAATTAGAATCATTCTATTATGGGGCTACAGAATTCATAAAATTGTTGTACGATTAAGGTCCTGATCATCACGAGGAATACGAATGGAAATATCAAAATGCTCCAACAGAAATATAAATGCAGAGGTTAAAGACGAGTAGGGTAACCCTCCATTCCACCATAGGCCAATATGGCGTGGTGTTTAATTAAGCACCGAGGACAATAACTTTCACTATAATAAAACCCAGCTGCATGATTTCTTTTTCATTATTTTGCATATAGCTTTATCGGGACTCAATCAGGGGACCTCTAGAATAGAAAGTCATAAACATTAGCTGCTTGGTCGTACTCAGTGCATAAGAAAGACACCTTTCTATTCGTCTGGTGCTAGCTTCTTTTCTCTTTCCGTCTGAAGGCTGTTATTCAGGCCCACTTGTACTAAAGGTTAAATAAACATGTGTTGGACCAAGTAAGTCAAGTATTCTGGAATATTCGTGCAGCCATTATCATTCACGTTTTTCTCAGATATTTTGTAGTCAATTTCTATAAATATTATTTGTTTCAAACGTACCAAAGCGACAAACAGAACAAAGAAATTATAAATTATCTTCATAGTCAATAATAGATAAACTTCTGTGGTCAAGATTATTCAGTTATGTCCGCGGCACAAATAATTGGCTTCCATATTACTTATTTATCTGCTCATATACTTGAACGTTCATTTCCTCATAATGACCTCATTAAAACACGTAAAATGTAATTCAATGCCACTGAGATTGCCCCCAATTCAGTAGTTTCAAAATCCATCCAAATGAAAATACTAGGGATGAAATATCACGTAGGTTACCTGTGTTTATCATGAATTGCCTTGTTGTCCAATATCGATAATATCCCAGTTAAATTTATCCCTAGTAGGTTCAAATATACCGGACACTCGTCACAGACAAACACTCACTGTGTCCTGAAATTTTGTTAGCAGTCAGTGTATTCTTGTCCTATTCGGTATTTCCCTGTCAGGACACGCATTGTGAAAATGTTTCCTGAACGGCAGCAAACAATTACGATACAAAGTAATGTTCAGGAATGAAAACACGTTCTGCTCTTGAAAGCACCATTTTCGCACATGCGTGAGCAGCGGCCTAGCAACAAAGGAACGAAGGTGATCTTGACTCGTGTCACGTGGGAGGTTAGGAAAGTGGATTACTCGAGGCATCCGATGTATGTGATGTGTGGGTTGAGTTTTAATGGTACACGACACGGGTCGTCGGTGGACTTTTTTGAACACGATAATTGACTCTTATGCTACATAGAAGACGGGAAGTTTCTTAACTAGCTGAGCGACTACTAGTTTCTCAGGATGAACTCCGCTGTATGGACTTAGGTAATTAGTTATCCTCTTTGATGTCATTTTAAAGGTATTTACATGTACCCTAATGTCAATAAAATTAGTGAAATTAAACGAAGTATGTTACGTAAATTAAGTTTTAGAGATGTCATTTTTCGCAGTGTAAATCACCGGAAGTTTAAACACACACCGCGAGAGCGTATTGCATGTCCACTTCCGTAGTATTACGACTAATGGCGGAAAACGAGAATTAGTAGCAAACGTCATGAAATACTTGAGGTATGTAATGACAAAACTCTACTACAACAGTCCTTCTACAACCAATTACATCTATTTTAATGGCTTGTTACTAACATTTCGACAAACATATCTAAAAATTTATGCCAGCAACTCTTTTATTATAAAGAAGACTATTTATTTATCGTTTGAACTAAGCGTAAAAGATACCATGCATAATTTTCGCAGTTTCTTTCTAGTTTGGGAATTTCGATAAAGAATTAAAAATTTTGAAATGTCAATTTGCCTACCTACAGCAACAGAAAGGATGTATTTTGGAACACTGACAAACAGAAACGAGGTTTATGATTAAATCTAATTATTGTTTTCAGACTAGCAGATTCTGCTACTCGTTTGTTTCAATAAAATATAAATCGGGAAGTTCCGAGTTTTTAATCACGAACGATAAATTTGTACTTTGTTCAACATAGGAATCGGAAGAAAGATTAAAATATTCCTAATTATTCTCTGTCATTTTCATATTGGATGATTTTTTCCCAATGGCAGCTTGATATTAGCGATGTTAAACTTTTGGGTTCTGTTATAGTGGGTTCTACTTTGTGAGTGAATGAATGAATCAGTGAGTAAATTTTAATGAATAGACCCCCCCATAATCTTGAGGTGAATATCTTTTCTTTGAGTAGTATACCGACGCACACGTGCTTAGTACAAGGAAAAAAATAAGGAACATACTTAGAAATAAGATATTATCAGGTGAATTTCATCAAATCCTGCAAGGTTGGCATTTCATGGTCGGGAATAAATGTTCTACAATACACAATATATATTTGGAAAATTCGTGTTTTTCGTTCGGCGTTATTTGACAAGACTTGAAAGCAGTAAATAAAGATTGATTTTTGGATTAATTGTACGCTCACGAATTTCTTTGGCGAGTTAATTTCCAAGAATGGCGAAAATGAAGATATTAGCTTTGCCTTAGCAGTCTTCTGTCTGAACGCATGTAATAACTTGAGAACTGAGGGAATTTTTAGGGAATCTAACATGTCGATACCGTCCACCTATGGATGAAATCGACCAAAAAAGTAATGTGTACTTTACATGAAAATCTAATGCATTTCTGTGAGCGGGAGTTACTGGGATGGTGAGTTCCCAGTCGGGAAATTCCTCATGGTGAATCTCCACTGTGAATTACGTGTACCTATATCAAATCTAAAACTTCTTGACGATGGTGAAGAGTCAATTGAATAAAAAATTTCTTGGATATTATCCATCGTCTAGTAAATATAAAACGTAAAACGACGTTTCGGAGATGGGACTCTATCTCCGTCTTCAGGTTCCTACACAGTTGGGCCCACTAGATAGAGCTAATCCCTATCTCCGGACAAAGTAAAAAAGTGAAAGTCCCGGAATAAAAAGACATCACCACACCATCCATCCGTGGGACGTAAAAGAATAGTATGTAGAAATCAAAATTCATGAACACGATAAAGCCACGTGTACCTAGTTCCCAGACGTGAAATTCCAGGTAATTCACAAATTTCGAAGGTCTAATTATGCTCTACGTACCAGAATTGTTACGCTAAGTGTACGCAGAATTACTGATTGTTAAAGCAGGTGGCACTCGTAGTTACTTCCAGGCTTTGAGGGCTAAAATTCGATGTTGAAGAGCGTATTTGACATGTGCGTACATTTAGATTAACAGGTACGTTTCCTTGGTTACGATACAAGTCTAAAATTCTATACAACCACCAGAGGATGTTCTGTGCAACATGCAAATGTGTCAAAGGTGCTGGACCGGTAAGGCTTAGACTTATTTTTAATTTCAGTTCCGTATTTTAGACTTTTTTTTACACTGTGTTCTTTTCAAGATAAAATCGTAACAGGAGTACTTCAAATCCAAGGCACGTTGCTACATTGTTTCAAGAGTTGAAACAACTATTGTACAGATATAATTAGCATTTTAAACAGTAATAAACTTTCATTACGCGTGACTGTTGTAGGTTTTCCCGAAGTCGGTAACGTTTTTTATGGGCGGAAGGACACCATCTCTGAATCACGACAAACCGGATGCGATATCTCACGTGAGACGCGAATAATAAGTATAGTTGAAATAATTCAAATCTTTACGTATGCCGGTGTAATTATCTCCTCCTCAGCGTGTGACCTATGATTCTTCTCGTACCTTATGAAAATTTTAGTGTGAATCTTGTTGAGTACTAAGGTTCAGTGGTATATGACACAAGTCGCTTCCTTAAGACCTAATTATTTTTAGCTACAGACGAAATTTTAAATATACAGATGTAAAATTACCCCAATGCGGAATAGTTTCGTAGAAAAAAAGGATGTCATATAAGTGGGGCTGAAGTATTTATTACTCAGTAAGGCCTACATGGCACTTGGAACTGTCAATCCATAAATATTATTATAGATTAAATATATCTTAATCACATAAATTATCTGTTACACGGCGAGGAGTAACTGATGAATTATAAACGAATAATCGCCTTATTATTTCCATGCCTATACCGGCCTCAAGAGTTACTTCGAGCATTTCCATTATCTTGCTACTAGGCTTAATCTTAGATCTGCTGATTTGTGATTTCCACTATAGCCATTTGTCTTCGTAGTATATTTAAAATTGTTGTTATATTGAAAAATTAAAGATTATTCCAGCTACACGCACATTTAATACCAGTATAAAATTCTAACCACCTGCTTAAATTTTGTGTTTCAGATATTATGGACAGCATTGTCCCTAGCACTGGGTTTGGAAATTCGAGGAGAGATCATCCGAGGTGTTCCTTGCATCAAACGCTTTCATCAATTATTCTGTCCCACCGCTGGTAACAGTTACCCTATGTAAGTACTTGGTACTTTGGAACTAACTCCACGGAGCGGAGACTTTGCATCAGGACCTACGGACACCACTTACTTGCACGCCTACGTGTATTTCTGTGCGCGTCAGGACCGTAACTAGCTACATATTTTATGCTAAATCACTTTTTCGTTTGTTTTACAGAATGACGCAATTAAATAAAACGGCCTTAATTCTGCGCGTTAATATAACTCGAAAGTCATTGGATTGATGTTGATCAAATTTTATACTGGAGTTCCTTGCTAGTTCGCCCCACCTGTTTCAAGCTATTTATAAACACCACCAAGAGTTTTGCATTCAATAATTAAATTCTAGAGACAACAATAAAGCGATCGAGACACAATTGCTACGCTACGCATGCATGTCCTAACTGTTAATTTTAAAATCTGATGGTGTCCTTTGACGGATTTCAGTAAATTTCATTTCCTTATGTCTGTTATATCAGAATGATAAGGACACCCTTTGTTTACAAATGGTTCCTTGCAAGAACTGTGACCATAAGTAATATGTGTTTCCCTGGATAGATAAAGATCCACAGAATTCTCAGGTAATCAAGAAATTCTTTGTCATTTCTAGAACCTGAAGTTTATTACATTGTTCATAAGTTCGTCCATAGGTCCCTTTGTTAAAGTCGATTCGAGTAACCTAAATAAAAAAAGCCACTATTTTTTTAAATTTTATTTAACTAACGGGCAGAAACAACTCTTTATATTGGATTACACATTATATTAAATCTTAATATTTTATTATGTATATAGAATGAATTTTTCTTGCTTTCATAGACTCACTCATGTAAACCAGTGATCCCACACACTGTTCAGCAGTCTGAGATAGAGAACTACTTAAACATGCGCAGAGTTAATATACTTGGAGTCAAGACACAGAAATTGACTTTAGTTCGAATCGAATCTGAGCGTTGAGTCAGTCGCGGTGATGCGGAGAAAAAGATGAAAGAGGAAATTATGTGGGCACGATGGACTGATGATTCTGTCCACACTCATACGCGCACACGTGTGTTTATTTGATGAAGCAACACTCACGATGTCCCTCCTACAATGCAAAAGTTTCTTAACCTAATCCTTGTTTCCATAGGCGGCTATGTCCATGTGATAAATTCCGTTAATGGACAATTTTACGTTATCTATATACCACGTGTTAAAAGTGCGAAATCTGAGGTGACGATGGTTAGCTTTTAAGTCAAACGAGAAATAAAAATGATTTTACATAAAATAATCGATTGAACAGTCATCTCTATAAACAGACCATGTGTGAGGACACACTCCTTCGCCCATCCTTGCAAGATCTTGAAGAATGAGATGCAAATTCGGCACATCTAGCAAATGCTAAAATACTGACGGTTCACAGATCCTTTAATGGCACTGAGATTGTGTAGCGAAAAAGGAGATTGGATGGTTATGGTGAATCATAAGCAATGAAAGAAACAGTCGTCATCTCTTTAAGACATCTTATGCATATGTACTGTTAGTGAAACAAAGAATATTATTCCCTTTTTCCGTTCCTTTATGTTTACGTGTCTGTATTTATTTCCTTTTTATGTGTTTATTTACGGCATAATTAACGACGCTAAGAATAGCTCAAATTATATAGCATAGAATGAAAGGATTAATCGTGAATAACGAATTCGAAATGAAATGGAAGGAAGTAGTCCTGGCCGAATAAGATATTTTTCCGGCATTTGAGTGGAAAGTCCTGGCCGAATTTAAGATATTTTTCCGGCATTTGAGTGGAGGGACTGTTATAACAATATAATAATTCGACTGAATTCAATTCTTTATTTTAGTATGTTCCGTCAATAGCCAAATAACAAATTGTAGATACAGTATAAAAAGTATAAAAAATCAGAACAAAAATAATAAGCAAATTATATTAAAAATTACATTATTTTACGTCACAGGGTAATCATGTGCAAAAGGTTACTAACACAAAAAGCTGCTTTAAGATGTGCTTAAGCGTAGTCAAATGTTTATTAAATATATCACAGTATTTGCTGCTGATGCGTATCTAGCGAAGGGACAAATTTTATGTAAAGAACGAACAGTAAACAGAGGAAAGTATCTAAAATGTCGAGAAGGAACGCGAATGCCAACAGTTTTGAGTAAGGACAACATTTATATACACTGTAAATATTAACAAGAAAAATCTCATGAAAGTGGCGCTTCATTTTGTATAATGTTTAGAAATATAAGTTTTCTGAGGCATTCACGTAACTGATGGATTGTAGAATAAAACGATTATGACACAGGGCTAAAAATGTTTCGCTGAATGCACTCAAATTTTCTGACGTCAGTAGAAGTTACAGAGTTCCGTAAGACGGCAGAATATTATCTGAAGTAAAATATGACGTCAAGAAATTGTCTATAGATGAAAAACGTTATCGCACACATAAGACCCATCAACTTGAGAGGTTCTCAAAATAAGCAGCATCTGTAATGTATAACGGCTAAAAAATTGCCCGTCAGAAATGATGGGAAATTCTGAAGTAGAAACACCAACCAACCAAAATTGAAAACGCTGCAGTCATTTTCCATCACATTCCGCAGGCAGCGCATTTCCTGAACAGATTGTAACGTAAATGTTCTACTGTTCTGTCAGTAATCAATTTCCGGTAAACAACAAGGAATAAATTTTTTTTGAAACGTACGCTCATGTATTTCGGTGAAGTCTGTGGGAAATGTATACATTAGATTACAATTGGATCGTTCGTTTTGGTAACCAGAAGATAAGTGCTTAAGAGTCAGTAACTAAATCTTATATGCTAATGTATTATTATTGCCTGCAGTCTAATTGGTTGGTTGGTCATCATTTATCAGCAACCAACAGGCGGGAAATTTCTTGACGGGCTGAGTTCGTGAGCTTCTCAAGAAGGACTCCGCTCCATGGAGTGAGTTTTATTGCCCGTGGAGAACCAGCAAGTGTAATGATTGGAAGTTGTTCACGCTGTTCTTGTGGCATGCGATCATGACACCTGGTAGGATCGGTATTATTCTTCTCACGCGTTTCCAGTCTATTTACAAGGAATGAGGAGGTCGCTTTGTAAAACCTTGACATCAGAACACAACTGAAAAGCCGTTCTTACACTGACGTGCTTTTAATATTGAAATTGTCGATACACACGAAGGCCTCAGATATCACGATTCATTAAATACCGCTTAATTCTTATAAGCAAATACAAATTATTTCCGGAAATAAGACACTTGTATAAATGTTTCTCGGGATTTATTGTGATGGGTCACTATGGCAACATCCGACTGATTAAAATGAAACAAGCTTTTTGGTGAAATTTGCCCAGATGCCCCTTGAAGGCAAATATGCTGGGAAAATGAAAATAGCTGACCTCTGGGATGTTGCATCCTGTAGTCTGAACTACGTTTCAGAGGAGATTACAGCCTCCGTTATCAGGGCGATCATTTGTTTCTGCAGTTTCCAAATGTTTTAGCTGTGTCACATTTTCGGAGGCTTTATTAGCTGACTTTACACCGCGGCTTTACGATAAATTCCGATGAAGAGACGTGAATATGTAGTTTCATCTGCGTTTGCTCTTCGCCAACCTCCTTATTTACGTCTAATAGCGTTTCTGTGTTTTCCTTAATGATGTTTACCTTTCAGCCCAGCAAATTTACGTCAATGGTGTAGTCTTTCTGAAGCTGTGTTCCGATCAATGTCAGTCCCACTTAATTTTCGTGGGCCATTTCAATGGTGTATATGCATACCGTTTATTTATCACCCTATTACATTTTTCGTCTATTATTAAAATAAATGCAAGTAGGTCTTCTGTGCCGATTATTTTGCTTATTTTAAAGTAGAACACTGTCCCTGATTACTTTTGGAGGTAGTGAGATAAATCTCAGAACACCTCAATCAGGATTGGGGTTTCTCATCTGATATCCGAACAGGATGCCGTCCGAATGAGATTCAGACTCGTTTATTCACTGTGCTAACCGGATCGAACGGTAGACAGGACATCAGGCAGTGTGCAGCCTCCCCTACCTCTTGCTAGGCTTACAAGTTCTCGCAATTAATGTTGGTCCTCCCTCACTGAGAGGAATGGCCCATATAATATGCCCGACTGGTTGTCTACCTCATGGGTGGAGGCGTGTCCGTAATAAAGCGTCTCTCTCTCTCTCTCTCTCTCTCTCTCTCTCTCTCTCATTACGTAAAACAGATTCTGAAGTACAGTCACCGAAATGTTACTGTGATTTTGTGTGCCTTAGAGTCCAGCATTTACGTTGTTACGTTACAGAAGTTCATTACTGTGAAATGTGCCTAAACGTTGTTCAATTTTATACACTTCTACGGTATTATGATTATTTATTTGACTGCAAATGGGTTTTTACCCGGTGGCAGTGGTCCTACAATAAGACACAAAACAATAAGACACAACAAAACAAT